CCAGCCATCAACTTCTTGGGAATAGATTTGTGGAAATCTTCCATGCTATAACGTGATGTGAGAAATCCCAAAAATATTATTACTGAGGCAGCTGCAGCAAACAGAGAGATTGCATCGGATATTATGTAGATCAAAAATGCTGCTTTGTTTTTGAATACTGGAAATCCCTTATTTTCATCGTTACCCCCATCGTTACCCCCAGGAAGGGTAAAAGCTGCGGCGAACATTATGGTGATGATGAGAGCGCCAACAATTATATATGAATTTGCTAATCCTTTCATCCAATCCTCTGCTTCCTTAAGCAAGACCTTGTGCTCTCTAGCCAAAACTTGGTAAGCAGTTTCACCATTGTTGTTTTTGGCATCTTTTTGACGCTGGTTAACCAGGCTTTCTACCGCCTGCATTTTTAAAATTAATAGTTTAAATGTGAAGTCCTATATTCACATATATATATATATATATATAAAATAAAGCAGCATAGACAGGATTCTTTTAGGAAAAAAAGGCTTTAATTAATGACCTAAGTAAAATAATAGTAAAATCTAATTTAATTTAATCATTAGAAAGAATTAAGCAAAAAAGTGAAGAATAATCCTGCAATGGATCAGAAGAGGCTCAAGTGAACTTAGATTCCGAAGATGGGAAGGAATGTTTTGTGAGGCAATGTTTTTGGCTTCTAGTTCATCTCGATGACAAGATGACCAATGTTGATTTCCTTAGCATATTACATTTTTGTTTTTAGTGGAGCTACTATTGCATTCTATATATGTAGTACTCAACTCCTAATATACTTTTGAAAATTTGCAGCTCTTAATACTTGTTATTTAGAGAATTTTATATGGTTGGACTATCCTTGTATATATTTCTAAGTACTATAATTTATGATTAGTAAAAATTATTGATTTTTATTGCGTACCTTGAACCATTGTATCTCTGTTTGCATCTGTAGAGCAGCACCAGAAATGTGAGAAAGTTGAGAATCAGAAGCCAATTTACCTGCTATATGTAATATATTGTTCTTCCCTGAATTATCTGGTAAATTGATAAATACATTGGCAAGGGGGAGTCCAATAAGAAAGCGAGCAATTTTCTCCTGACGAAATTCAATAGCATCCATGAGAAAGTTTCTACTTATAGTCTCATCATTGGGCAGCGACGTATGAAGTAAGTCTGCATTAGTTTTGACCATTTCAATTAAAAATTCATAATTGCCATTCTCAATCGCACTGGTGAGTGCCTTCCTTAGTACAGTCAGGTCCTCCCATGTCCTCAACTGTAATTTTGTCAAGTGCTGACAGATCAAACAGAGACTCGCACAGGCGAGGCCATAACTCAACTTTAAAGCATGTATTTGCTTTATGCCTAAAGTAAGAATAAAAATAAAGCATAAGCATAGAAGTAAAAGATAAATTAAAAACATGATTTTGTTAATCGGAAAAAAAAAATTGACTGTGTTATACCTAAGAATGGAAGAAGGAATGAAGCCAATCTCCATAATCGACCTAATAACCAAAA